ATTCCGGCCCTCCACAGGCCTCATCCCACGTTCTGGCAGTACCTTGCATTTCCACCTGCTTCCAGGTTGTTCTAGGCATTCTGGTAGCTGCTGGGCCGTGGCCAACAGCCAATCAGAGCGCAGGAGCGTCCTGCTCACAACTGTGATGCTGATGAAGTCTTCTCCTCTTCCTCATCAGACCTTCCATAACATATTTCCTGTTATAAATGGGTATGATGTGACATCACAAGTGGAGAGGCCATCTGCACACGGCAGGGTCCCGGGCTATTTCTGTCAGGGCTCCACGTACGCACATACTCACTGGCTGGAAGAGTTTCTGTTTATCGAAGGGAAGCATGAAACTTTTTACGAGGTCAAAGCAAAGATGTCATGGATGCGAGAGATTTTTGAGGACACTTTGGTATAATATTTTGTTGCTTCTGCCAGACTTGATAACACAAAAGACCAGTGGTTCTCGACTAGTGGGTTGCAAATCAAAAATGGATTGCTAGTCTGTTCTGAGAAGTGCTACAACAAAGCTATTATAAAAGCTACTTTTACTATTATTATTATTATTTCATTATTATTTCATTTCATAAAATTCAAATTTTCTCATTCTTATTATTTAGATTATTTAATGTAGCATTATTTTGTATTGTTTTAAAACATACAACCTTTCATTTTGCATAACTTCATTATTATTATTATTATTATTATTATTAACGTTTAATTTTGCATAGCAGTATTATTTGGGATTATTTATTTTATTATTCTAAAACAAACTATTTAAAATTTTGCATATCGTTTTAAACTTCTTTTAATTTAGCATAATATTGTCTTAATTACTTTTTTTGCATTTTTGTTTAATTTTACATCGTAATATTATTTTGGATTATATAATGATTATTATTTTGTATTCTTATTTAAAACAAACAACTAAATTTTGCATCATCATTATTATTATAATTTTTAAACAAACAATATATTTAGCTTTGCACACAGTTATCTTAATCAGTAATTTTTGTTATTATTATTATTATTATTATTATACATTTCAGTCATTAATTTGTCTGTTTAATTTTCCTATAATATCATTTATTTTCAATTATTATTATTAATTGTAATACAATTCAGTATTTTTTATTTTTTCATAATATCCTATTTATTTTCATTTATTAGTAGTTGTAGAATTGTAATATATTTCTATATTACAACATTACAGTAATAAACTATTTTGGTGCTGTGTTGACTTGCCACAAAGCGAAACCAATTGAGCACCACTAAAGTAGCCATTTTTTTTGCGGTCTTTTACGCTATTGCTTAATCAATACGGTGCACATTAGAAACATAACAGAAATGCTGTATCATAATTTCAAAGTGAACCCTGCCATCTTCCCTGCCCGGCATCCAAAAATAGCAGTTGTTTTTGGAGGGCTGCAGTGTTTGCAACCCTGGCCAGATGGGGTGTAAAGACAGGGGCTGGAGTCATGGAGAGAGTTCCCATCAGCCCGCTGGGTGAGGGATGGAACCCAGAATGGCTCCGTACACTGCAGTGGCTGTCAAGGCCTCAGAGAGCGGGTTATGTGACCAGTGAGATTTTTGACTGTTGGAAGAAATTGGAAAAATAAAAATAAAAAACGACTGAATCGCTTTGCACCTTGTTTTTCTTCCAGGGCTCTTGTTTCACTCCAACAGCCCTGACAGTCAGACATGTCATCTCAGAACATCGGTAAAGGGCTGACAGCCAAAGGTGAAAAATAACACCTCTGTGTTCATTCATCAACGGTGTCCGGCCCCAAAAGAGCAGCCCGTTAACCACAACACACAGCTGGAGAAAACCTTCCTTATCAGATCATGATGGAACATCTATTCTGAGCCAGTGTCCTGCAACACAGACATCCATCACAGTCCGTAACACACATAGACTATGATCTATATCACAAGATCAAACTTTTCTTTGAAATCTTGTATAAAAAATGTAGTTTAAAGACAAAGGTCACCAATAAAATAAAATAAAAAATTCTCATGTTGTTCCAAACCTGTATGACTGACTGACTTCTATGGAACGCAAAAGAAGAAATTCAAAATAATGTAATGGAGCTTTTGAGCTACAAAAAAAGAGACAAAAAGCTAATGAATCATAAAAGCAGTTTATAAGACTCATGCATTATGTATGTTTTGTGAGGAACCAACACAAATGGAAGCTATTATTCACTGATAACCTTCATCTTTAGTGAGATGTTAAAGGGATAGTTCACCCAAAAATGAAAATTCTGTCAATTACTCACCCTCGTGTTGTTCGAAACCCATAAGACCTTCGGTCATCTTCGGAACACAATTTAAGATATTTTTGGTGAAATCGTCTCGGTTACGTATATAACCCTCGTTCCCTGAAGGAGGGAACGGAGACGTCACGTTGGAGGACCGACGAATTGGGATCTCGCTTAGAGGGACCAATCTACTTCGAGTGTAAACTAAACGAGCCAATGCACATTGGCATGCGATTATTGCATCCAGCTGCTGCTGATCACAGCGTGAGTATAAGTAGGCAGCAGATGCAGCGCATATTCAGGTTTTCGCTGATGAGCCGAGCCGGTGACCCGGCCGCTCAGCGGTGGTACAGGAGCTGTGGTGACGGGACGTGACGTCTAGTGCCGTGAGCACCAGAGTCAGGTCCCAAGAGGGAATAGAGGGGGGCCGTGGAGGATTTAACCTTCTCGCCCCCTTAAGGAACCTGACGACCAAGTCATGCTTCCCCAACAACCTCCTTCTACGGGGTCATGGTTAGCAGAGATTGCAGCGACATAAACTTTAAGGGTGGAGAGAGACAGCCTTCGCTCCAACCCTTGCTGCAAAAAGGACAGCACAACTCTGATCGGGCATATTTGGGGGTCTTCTCGGCGAGAATGGGGATGGAGTCACCATTCTCCCGGGAGCGCAGCTCAGGACAGCTTGTCGGCTGCCCGGTTGAGCAGCCCAGGAATGTGAACAGCACGAAGCGACCTCAGATGCTTCTGACTCCAGAGGAGGATGTGGCGGGCGAGTTGCGATAAGAAGGGGAGTGCAGACCACCTTGTCGGTTGATGTACGCAACGGTCGCTGTGTTGTCCGTGCGGACTAGTACATGCTTGCCTCGTAAGCGCCCTTTGAGACGGCCCCGGGCAAGGTGCACTGCCAGCAACTCGAGGCAGCCAGTGCAGTTGGGGCCCCGTCCAAACCCCTGACACTGCAAGCCCATTGTAAGTACCAAGATGATCGACAAAGTAGTCTGTGTGACATCAGTGGTTCAACTGTAAAGTTACGAAGCTACGAGAATACTTTTTTTGCACAAAAAAAACAAAAATAATGACTTTATTCCACATTTTCGTCTCTACTGTGTCACTTTGGACACGCGTTCATGACAGTACCATGACGCGAACGTGTGGCAGCGTCTGCGCTGACCCAGATCCGGCGTGATGACGTCATTACGCCGGATTTGGGTCAGCAACGCCACATGCTCGCGTGTGTAAAGTCCTAAATAAAGTAAATAAAGTCCTTATTTTTGTTTTCTTTGGACAAAAAAAGTATTCTCGTAGCTTGTCGATCATCTTGGTACTTTTCTGGACCTTGAATGTGGTAGTTACCTTGCTGTCTATGGGAGGGTCAGAGACCCCCTTTGATTTCATCAAAAATATCTTAAATTTTGTTCCGAAGATGAACGAAGGTCTTACGGGTTTCGAACAACACGAGGGTGAGTAATTAATGACAGAATTTTTATTTTTGGGTGAACTAACCCTTTAACTATTGAGTCAGTGAATCGAACTTGAAACTTCATTAGTTTAATTTTGGAATGAGTCAGTCAGACCACTTTTGTGAAGGAGATTAACCAAAACAAGATCTGACTCAAAACAATGATTTGTTCAATTTGTTCAGCTGGACATCATCAGCTCTGTTGTATCACCAAATGAAGCTAGGGCAGATATTTGGTTCGGTCTGTTAGTTTATGATCATATTGTATGCCGTCAGAGTTGTCGTCATATGAACTACTTCTTTTGGGGGGGGGGGGGTTTAAGCCTGAATCTCCGGTCTCCATTCTCCATTATTTGCTGTTGCATGGAAAAAATGTCCAGTATATTCTTTGAAATGTCTCCTTTTGTGTTCGGCAGAAGAAAGAAAGTCAGGTTTGGAACAACACGAGGGTGAATAAATGATGACAGAATTTTCATTTGCAGATGAACTATTCCTTTAGGTTAAAAGAAAATGATTTCCGTTTAACTTTCGCCTGGCTTGTGGTTGTTGGAGTTAAACGGCTCCCACTCTTTCAGTTGCATTGTAAGTGCCCTCACAGCTCTTTGATGCAGTGCTTTTGGTAATTGATGTGCTCTGTAACGTCGGCACGGTGGAAGAAAGGCTTGTGGGGGGGTTTTGGAGTAGATGCATGAATTTAAATAACGCTCCGGCTGTAAGTAACTGCAGGAATGAGATGCATTTTTTTCCTTTTGGCTGACTTGACTGAGAGGCGTTTGATTTATCCTCACGAGGAGCTGAGCGCTGGCTCGCCTGTCCCGCTTATTTACTCTCCGCATTGCTCTGCTGGGTATTGGCCAGTTATTTACTGCAAATGGTCGCGTTGGTACGAGATGGGAGAAAATCGGGCTCTTATTTATTTATTTATTTTTCAATTAAAAGTGGCACGTCAGAACAGAGATTTAAAGGTTCCGAGGGATCCGACGCTCTAACTGTGCTGGGGCCTAGGAGGCGTTCCAATATTGCTTTGTTGTCGACTGTCTCTTTAGGAATACAGAGAAAGACTGCTGGAGTGGGCTCAAGGTATTTGACTCTTCAATGCCGGCAAGTTTTTATCAATGACAATAAAACAGTCGAAAGACCAATAAATATGCATATGAAGGTCACGTTATATTGCTGTTTTTCCAACCAAAAAATAATAATTTATGTGGGGTTCCACAGCTGAGATGTGCAGTCGTTGTACAGTGATAATCTGTGTTATGTGATCTCAAAGGTTCCTTAATTTCCTCATATAGACATGAAGCTGGGCAGAAACGTGGCCCGGACATTCCTGGATTACTACAAACTGAACAACCTGATAGATGAAAGCAAACTCACAGGACACATTAACAGGCACATAATGCAATCACATACAGTATTTCATTATCTCACAGCAATGGCACAGATCTTGGGTTTGTTTTTGTTTTCCATATCATTACATTACATAGATAGTTTATACTACAATCCTACTAGAAGACACTCTTTGCATAAGATGAGCCACTTTGTACTTTTTTTATTACTTAATTGAGTCATATATAATTGCGATATTTAAACAACTTGAAACTTAAGGTGGTAATCAGCAAAATTGTATTTAGCTTAATCTGTTAAAGGATTAGTTCACTTCCAGAATAATAATTTCCTGATAATTTACTCACCCCCTTGTCATCCAAGATGATTTACTCACCCTCATGTCATCATGTCTTTCTTTATTCAGTCAAAGAGAAATTAAGGTTTTTGAAGAAAGCATTGCAGGATTTTTCTCTGTATAGTTGAATTCAGTGGTAGACAAAGGGTTGATGGTCCAAATTGCAGTTTCAATGCAGCTTCAAAGGGCTCTACACAATCTCAGCCGATGAATAAGGGTTTTATTTAGCAAAATGTCTGGCCATTTTCTAAAAAAAAAGAAAATGTATATACTTTTTAATCAAAAATGCACGTATTGCATCTCCATGATGCGCGTCCGCGACTTCACACATTACGTAATCATGTTGGAAAGGTGACGTGTGACATAGGCGAAGTACCAACACAGTGTTTACAAAGCAAACGCGCAAAGAAAGTGAGATGCACTTTACAAAAAAAACCAAAACAACGATTTTGTATGATTATGAAGTTGGAGGAAAAAATTAGATGGAGTTTTTTTTTTTGCCCTACCCTACCTTTTTTAACCGAAGTACACAGACAAAGAATTAATGAAGCTTTCCTTTCAATGGCACCCAATACTACACTCTAAAAAATGCTGGGTTAAATACAACCCAGTGCTGGGTAAAATAGGGACAAACCCAGCAATTGGGCTGTTTTGACCCAGCAGTTGGGTTACTACCCAGAAGGTTGGGTTAAACATTTAACCCAACCGCTGGGTCAAAACAGCCCAATTGCTGGGTTTGTCCCTATTTTACCCAGCACTGGGCTGTATTTAACCCAGGATTTTTTAGAGTGTACATAATGTGTTAAATGTTTCACACAACAGATAACATTCAGATTTTTATTTAGTTTAAAGATGATCTCTTATGAGAGCATCTAATGTAATGCATCTCAATATTTGTTTACCTTCATCCCAAACTTTTTGACCTGGATTTTTTAGTGTAGAATTTAATATTTTAATAATTTCACAAAAAATTCACATGCTCAGCTCATGGTCACATGTCATGCAGTAAACAAAGAAAATATTTGATATTTTTGTGTTTTATTTTTAAAATTATATATTTGAATTTGCCATTTTTATGATATAATTATTAGCTTTTCATCAATTCACAAACACCTCGTTTAGAAAACCCCACTCTTAATCATCATATAATATGGAAATCGTATATATATATATATATATATATATATATATATATATATATAATATATATATATATATATTTTTTTGCTTCTAATAAAGTGTTTGATAAAAAAATGGCTTTCCAGTGTCTTATTAAGTGCTTATATTGAAATCCAGCAGAAGTTATTTTGAAATGCTGTTACAAAAACAATGCATTTTAATCCTCTCATCATAGTCTCAGGGCAATAAGCATCAACACATCGTCTGCTGTTCACCAAAGTACTCTAATACAGCGTCTCCAAACAATGTCTGATCTGTCCACACACAGAACACATACCGTGAGGGGTCTAAAATACTGAATGGCTCAAGCTATCAGTCAAGAAGTGTGAAAAGCAGCGTGTATTTTTCAGGCCAGTCATTCGGAATAACTGAGGCAATCAGTTAGAAAAGGCAAAAACAAATGACTTGCATTTTAGATGGTAGAAGAGAAGATGGCGAGAGCTAATGTGAATGAGAAAACACATCCATCTACAGAATCTCAAGAAACACACACACACACACACACACACACACACACACACACACAGGTAATGGCGCTGTCATACCTAAAAGCCTTTGTGCTTATGGAAAGCCTCACCTCCCCACTGCTCTGTCATTTTAACCAGAGCCTCGAACCATTAGTCCCTTATGCTTGGCTCACCAAAGGAAGGAGAGAGAGAGAGAGAGAGAGAAGAATAAAAGGAGAAAAGGCCACTTAGTTTAATTTCATTAAATCTCGACTCTTCAAACGGCAATCGCTATCAGGATTTACTTTTTTCTTTCTCTGCTTTTTAAAAATGACTTAATATGCCAGGATGTTCCAATTAGCATTTAAATTATCGTTGTTTTTTTACATCCATGTAATGCCATTATCATATTAGGTTGAGACCGGCCATCAAATGCAATTAACATTTTTAAAAACGTATTTACCCAGGCAGCGCCTGCAGGAACAGAGTTATTGGGGCTCAGAATTATGTTAGCTGAGATTAGAGTTATTGAAGTCATTTGCCTGCAAAGGTGAGATTGGAACACTGAGGAAAGGTTTACATCAGGTTACATGTGTACATAACAAGGAAATTAGTGGATTAGCACCGTACAAACAGAAGGATGTTCGCAATATCACTACAATAAAGCGTGACCTTATACTCTCTTCCTCTGGGATCTTCTTTTCCATTTTTATTTCAAAGGTGAAGAGTCATTTCTGCGTTACTAGTGGCAACAGACAGAAAAATAGTGATTGTTTCCAAACACACATAGGCCATGCATTAATATTACTGGTGCTTGCGAAGGCATCGCTGTTATTATTGCTTATAGTAAGGGATTTGAACAAACCCCTAACCCTAAGTATTAAACACTAATGTTTAACTGTGCTACGGACATGAATAGCCACCACACAACACCTTAGCAACTGTGTTGCAATATGCTAATAAACATATAGAGCACTTTAGCAACCACCCATATTGTATTCCCTTGACATTTTCTTCACCAAATGTAGTTATTTTTCTGTTGCCTCTGAGCTTCTGAAAGTTTTGAAATATTATATAGAAAATATCATTTTTGACCACGTTTCATGTTGTTTTAGTATTATTTATGTATATAGTAGTATTTAATCATTTTAGTTGCATTTAGTTTTATGTGCGTTTGTCACCTTTATTAGTTCTCATTTTTTATTTCTATTTCGCTTCAATTTATTTTTATTTCCATTTTAGTAATTGTAGTACTTTAACTTTTTTATGCATTTCATGAAATATTTATATAATTTTATTTCATTACCGCAAATATTTTTGGAATAGTTTTAGTTTTAATTTCAGTTAATGATAACACTGCAACTATGAATTCTATTCAGTGAATTCATTAATTCAGTGAAGTCTTTGTTCCTATCCAGTCATGTGGTCGTTCCTCAACTAAGCCCTGTCCTGTGAGAACTTCCCCTGCAAACTCGAAGAAGCCAGACACAGCGCCATCCTGTGGATACGAAAAGCCAACGGTGGCGTCCCAAAGCCGTGCTCCTTCACCCTACACCCATCGCAAGATGTGTCAGCTGTCTGAGGAGGCCAGACAACGACTCGGCCACCTCAAACTTGGGCCCTACACATTTAAAAAAGAGACGGTCCCTCAGGCTCCGTTCGTGGTGGGTCAGATTGACTAAATGAAACAATACAAGCAGAGTTTGTGTACTTTTAATCTTTGATTAATGATCACTGTGACACGGAGCATTAGCTTAGGTCAACTGCATGTTATTAACATATTTCTTCACTGAGGGCATTGATTACAGGAGACGGACAACCGTGTCAAAATCTTTACTTGTTTTTGTGACTGAAGTAAAAGCATAAATTCTCCCTCTTGTTTCTTTTCCGTGTTTTCTAAAACAACAGTACATCCTGGGGTGCAAATATCAAAGCTGTCATGGTATAAAAGGCAGCTCTTGGATTTGTGTCTGATATCATCATGGCATTTTCTGTCACAGGCCTTTTAAAAAGTGGGTAGCCTTTTCAAAGAAAATCCCCAGGCTGCAATTAACCCAAGTAATTAAGAGTCAGGCCGTGATAAGCAAATTCTTCCCTCTTATTACAGCAGATTAGCCCTTTCTGTTTATGTGTGTTTAAAGTCGGCACACTTGTTTTGCATGAAAACTAAATAGCTCGTTTCATTAACTCGCTTGGTCACTTTACTATTCAAATGAAGTTCGAATGGACTAATTGAAGTCTGAGAGTTGAGTTTATACACAGGCACCTGAGTCTGAGTAACTTCCCTCTGAAGTTTCTCTCCTCACTTTCACCTTCCTAGAAAAGTGATTAACTCTCAAATGAAAGTCAAATTCATTTGAATAATCGATGCTCTGTGTGTCAATGGAGTGTTGATGCACGCCACTTCACCTGCTAAATCAGAGATGAGCGAGTATTTATCTTTTAATGGGCAACGTAGCTGATTGCATCTTCTGTTTGCAGGTGCCCCGAAGCCCAAACACGTCGCTGATGGAAACCTCCATGTGTCTTACATCTCAGTCTTCTCCTAAAAGAAGCCCCCTACGTCTGCAGTCACGGAGCTACTCCACAGACCACACAGGTCACCATGATATTTGTGTTTTTACATGTCTATTTGTGCATTTATTCATCCTCATGTCCCTCCAAACCTGTATGACTTTCATTTACAAATGAAGATATTTAGAAAAATGGGGTCCAGTGTTGTTTTGGATCCGACTGACTTGTATGGTATGGACAAAAACAGATCTTGAAAAGACACTACTGTTCAAAAGAAAATAAATGAATACTTTTTTATTAATACTCAGCTAGGACACATTAAAGTGATCAAAAGTGACAGTAAAAACAATGTTATGAAAGGTTTGTATTTCAAATAATTTTGAATCCTGAAAAAACTTTCCACAAAAATATTGAGCAGCACAATTGTTTTTCAACATTAATAACAATAAATGTCTCTTGAGCACCAAATTAGCATATTGGCATGATTTCTAAAGGATCATGTGATACTGATGACTGTAGGAATGGCCGCTGAAAATTCAGCTTCTCTATCACAGGAATAAATTACATTTTAAAATATACTAAGTGCAATAATAGTTCAATCGATCAAATAAATGCAGTCTTAGTGAGCATTTAACTTCTCTAAAAGAAATCTTACCAGCCCCAAACTTTTGAACAGTAGTGTAGCTTCTTTTGTGTTCTCCAGAAGAAAAAAGTCAGGTTGGAGCGACATGTTGGTGAGTAAATTATTTATATTTTTGGGTGAGCTATCCTTTTAAATACTTGTTTTGAGTATTTCAATCAATTACCGATCATTAAGTATTATCAGATGTGTTTTTCTGTGTATTGTGGAAGATGCATTTTACCATATGTTCCCACAAAACTTCTCTAGATCCCTCTCTCCTCGGAAGTTTCAGATCAAAGCCCTCACATGTAAATTACAAAGTGCTTAGTTTGAACTAATTAGAGATTAATGAATGTACATGAATTCTTGCCTATTCTGACACTGTTTTCTCCACTATATCTCTTGGGGAGGCATCCATGCAAGCAGCCAGAAGTTCCCCCAAAGATCACTCCAGCCCTGTGTCCAGCACGTTCAGAGATCAGAGTCCAGTCCTGACCCGCTCTTCCCTGAGAGAACGGTGCGTTTAACATCCTGTACGGCATTTACTCTGTTTGCTGCAAAGCGATTTAACACAGACAGTCTTTGCTCTTCTCATACTGTTCGATTTTGTCATTGGATTGATTTGTTTTTTCATTAGGGCCAACATTCAGAAGCATTATACTTACTTATCCTTCCATATGTTTATTATATGTCATGCTTGTGCTTTTCCTAAAATCCATACTTTATGATATGCATTTTTCTCGAACCTACAAACGTGCAGTGAGCAAAACTAAAAGTGCTACCCCTTTGTACTTTTCCTATGAATTTCCAATTATGTGGTATTGACTAAATGTGCGGCTCATAAAAACAAAGCCCAGTAAACAGAGCGTCCATTCCACAAATCTATATTGTGATCACACACAACAGACAAGATGAATTTACTGCCTCGCCTTCAAATGGCAGAACCTGATGTTTGGTCATGTTTGTTCATTACTTATGAGAAGGGGGAAAAGCTGCTGAGAAAACAAGGGGAAATGCTATTGATTGGGTTTCAGTGAGATCTAATGCGTTTGACCCGATGCACAGTTTAATAAATTCCGAGAGACCCTTGTCATTGATCTGAACATCGGCTGCGAAACCGGCAAATGTTTGTTTGTTTGTTTGCTAGTCTCTCTACCACCGGCACCTTTTCCGCACGAGCATGAGCAAACATTTCAAATCAATAGACAATCTAAGTCTTGAGAGTAAATAGTGGGAAATGTGTGATACTATTTTGTCAATTGAAAGCATGACCGGAGTCACAGGCCCGGAGATTAAGGCTCGCTCCGCAGATTCGCACAATGAGAGATCAGGCACGTCTTTTTGAGCTGCTGATGGGGGGAGGGAATGAAACGACGCTTTCTAAAGTTCAGGCTGGCCCTCTCTGGCCTTCTTGTATGGTAATTGTAAAGATGGCCAGTGTTGCGGCCGTTAAAGATAAAGAACCACAGTGATGCATGACCTTTCGTACAGATCTGCTGGTCTTTTTACCTCTATATTACTTTTAATAAAGATTCTAATTAATTCTCTTCTTCTATCTTTTTAACAGGATCGGTGCGTTAATAATATATTGCTAGTTTATTCACACAGGTTTTAATAATGTAAATCCTAGGACAGCTAAAATGTTTGGGTAATTCCTCATCTGAACTTCTCTCTTGTGGCATATTTAGATGCATAAAAAGAAAATATCAGCATTTGCTACAGGGCTGGAGATAAATGTCTCTGTATGTGCATTTGTGATTTAACTTCATGATCTAACTGGTCTGAAATGTACTAGTATTTCCCAAGATGACAGAGCTCCAATGTAAGGGCGATAGCACAGACTAGTGGTTTGAGCTGGTATTGTTGGTATTTATTTTAGTATTTGTTTTCTGTTTGTTTGTTTTTTCAACTTAATTTTATTCTTAATTTAAGACTTTTTTTTTTTTATTCTTGCATATATACGATAACCAATATAGGAAACATAATTTGTATCTACACTTTAAAAAAAATTAAATATATAAATTATTTTAAAATTATTTATATTTAAAATGATATATATTTAATTATATTAAAACAATTATATATATATATATATATATAAATTAATAATTACACATTTATATATACATTAAAAAAATTAAATGTAATTATAATAATACAATAAATATTAGTTTGTGCAAATTCATTATAGTTGTTGCCTCTATTCAGTCCTTTGTAAATGATTTTCTTGTGAAATTCCAAGACTTCATTTTTCATATTTGGGTTTTGTATTTTCAGTCCTGTTGTTTTCCATTCCCTGCAGTTTCCAGAGTTCATCCAGTCCCTCACAGTCGGAGGAGATCCACAAACGAGTGCAGAGAATCCTAAACATCCACGGAGCCCGCTGCAAGCTTTCTTTTGTACGTCTCGCCTGAGATCACAACTGCATGTAATGCTGTCATTCAATGCGCACGTTAACCCGTGCAAAAGCAACCTCCAAAACACTCATTACGGCACATGTCAGTGTTTCAAACGTCCTCCATTGATTCTGTCGAGCGCTCTGTGTTCTTCACATCCATTGTGTCAGGATGTGCTGCCACTGTCTTCCAGGAAGTGAACGAGGTAATCACCTTACGTGCTCATTCTTTCTGTTCGCTCGAGTCGTGGGCCGCTTAAACGCATCACCGCCCACGCCGTGTTTCGCTGGAACACCCTGATGTGAAAGAAAAGCGAAAGAGTTCTAATTACACTAAAGCTTCCCCAAATCCTCCCTTGGAGGAAAAAAGGAGCGCATGTTCACTGGGAAGAAGGTCTGCAGGCTGACGGCTGTCGTTACAGGCTCATCTTTTACAGATAGAAGAGAGAGAAGAGCTGCCACAGTGGCACAGTTGGGTGCCAAGCGCTGCGTGGCTGAAGCCCAGCTCAAGAAGGGAACTGTGTAATCCACTCTAGATTTAAAAAGAGAGAAGGACTGGGATTTATTTTTAAGAGTTTTAATCAAGCAGTTCAAAGGATTTGCTTTTATGAGAGTTTCACTCTTATTGCATTAGCAGATTTTGGAAAAAAATTAATTGGTTTGGGATATTCGGCAACGCTGCATATCTTTGTGCTAATTTCACCGTATTATAATTAAACATCGGCTTATTGCATTATTTAGTTATAATGATTTGAATATTTTCATGACTAAAGTGTGTGTGTTGTCAGGATGAAGAGAGTGAGGAGGAGGAGGGGATCAGACAGAGTTCACATGTTTCCACCCACCGTGACTCAGTGATTGACAACCGGCTACCGCAGGACAGGTAAACATCGCCTCGTTTCAAACAGTTTAGGATTTCTACTTTAAATGAACATTTTAAGAATATTTCTTTGGGTTATATATATGCACACAGTTGAAGACAAAATGATTAGCCCCCTATAAAATATTTCATTATTTTTTAAATAATTCCCAAGTGCTCTTGAACAGAGAGAAGTTTTTTCAACACATCATTTCTAAACATAATAGTTTATTTAGAAAGCTTGGAATGTTTGTAATATAAATAGCAACAAAATTATAACCAAGAAAAAAAACGTTCACTTTGCTCATTTGGAGGTAGTTCTACACCAGAAATGAGGTATGCTTTGAGTCGCTATCATGCTGGGAGACAATTGCAGATTGCCTGAGGTTGTCTTTCAAAATCTTCTCGTAGTCTTCCGTATTCATGATTCCTTTGACCCTGAAGAGATTCCCAGTTCCAAACGCAGTGAAACATCCTCACAGCATTATACTCCCACTGCCATGTTTCACTCTGGAGACGGTGTTCTTTGGGTTGAGCACCTGTCCCTTCTTACTCCAAACATAGGCAACATCTCTATGGCCAAAGAGCTATACTTTTGTCTCATCTGACCAAAGGACACGTTTCTAGTATACATAGTTTTTCTCCAGGTTGTCCTTCAAACTTCAGTCTAGCTTGGCGGTGTCTCTTCTTCAGAAGAGTTTTTCTTGGTCGGCATCCTCACAGTCCATTCCTGTCCGGGTCTCTAGTGTCCGTCTTCGTTGAGATATCAATCCCAGACTTGACTAAATCATTCACTAGTGTCTTTGCAGTTGTTCTTGGGTCTTTAGAAACCTCTCTCAATAGTTTTCTTTACAAAGTTTTACAGTCGGAGGAGATCCACAAACGAGTGCAGAGAATCCTAAACATCCACGGAGCCCGCTGCAAGCTTTCTTTTGTACGTCTCGCCTGAGATCACAACTGCATGTAATGCTGTCATTCAATGCGCACGTTAACCCGTGCAAAAGCAACCTCCAAAACACTCATTACGGCACATGTCAGTGTTTCAAACGTCCTCCATTGATTCTGTCGAGCGCTCTGTGTTCTTCACATCCATTGTGTCAGGATGTGCTGCCACTGTCTTCCAGGAAGTGAACGAGGTAATCACCTTACGTGCTCATTCTTTCTGTTCGCTCGAGTCGTGGGCCGCTTAAACGCATCACCGCCCACGCCGTGTTTCGCTGGAACACCCTGATGTGAAAGAAAAGCGAAAGAGTTCTAATTACACTAAAGCTTCCCCAAATCCTCCCTTGGAGGAAAAAAGGAGCGCATGTTCACTGGGAAGAAGGTCTGCAGGCTGACGGCTGTCGTTACAGGCTCATCTTTTACAGATAGAAGAGAGAGAAGAGCTGCCACAGTGGCACAGTTGGGTGCCAAGCGCTGCGTGGCTGAAGCCCAGCTCAAGAAGGGAACTGTGTAATCCACTCTAGATTTAAAAAGAGAGAAGGACTGGGATTTATTTTTAAGAGTTTTAATCAAGCAGTTCAAAGGATTTGCTTTTATGAGAGTTTCACTCTTATTGCATTAGCAGATTTTGGAAAAAAATTAATTGGTTTGGGATATTCGGCAACGCTGCATATCTTTGTGCTAATTTCACCGTATTATAATTAAACATCGGCTTATTGCATTATTTAGTTATAATGATTTGAATATTTTCATGACTAAAGTGTGTGTGTTGTCAGGATGAAGAGAGTGAGGAGGAGGAGGGGATCAGACAGAGTTCACATGTTTCCACCCACCGTGACTCAGTGATTGACAACCGGCTACCGCAGGACAGGTAAACATCGCCTCGTTTCAAACAGTTTAGGATTTCTACTTTAAATGAACATTTTAAGAATATTTCTTTGGGTTATATATATGCACACAGTTGAAGACAAAATGATTAGCCCCCTATAAAATATTTCATTATTTTTTAAATAATTCCCAAGTGCTCTTGAACAGAGAGAAGTTTTTTCAACACATCATTTCTAAACATAATAGTTTATTTAGAAAGCTTGGAATGTTTGTAATATAAATAGCAACAAAATTATAACCAAGAAAAAAAACGTTCACTTTGCTCATTTGGAGGTAGTTCTACACCAGAAATGAGGTATGCTTTGAGTCGCTATCATGCTGGGAGACAATTGCAGATTGCCTGAGGTTGTCTTTCAAAATCTTCTCGTAGTCTTCCGTATTCATGATTCCTTTGACCCTGAAGAGATTCCCAGTTCCAAACGCAGTGAAACATCCTCACAGCATTATACTCCCACTGCCATGTTTCACTCTGGAGACGGTGTTCTTTGGGTTGAGCACCTGTCCCTTCTTACTCCAAACATAGGCAACATCTCTATGGCCAAAGAGCTATACTTTTGTCTCACCTGACCAAAGGACACGTTTCTAGTATACATAGTTTTTCTCCAGGTTGTCCTTCAAACTTCAGTCTAGCTTGGCGGTGTCTCTTCTTCAGAAGAGTTTTTCTTGGTCGGCATCCTCACAGTCCATTCCTGTCCGGGTCTCTAGTGTCCGTCTTCGTTGAGATATCAATCCCAGACTTGACTAAATCATTCACTAGTGTCTTTGCAGTTGTTCTTGGGTCTTTAGAAACCTCTCTCAATAGTTTTCTTTACAAAGTTTTCGAAATCTTTCGCTTCCTGCCTCTGTTCTCCACTGTGTGAGTCTCTTCAAACTTCTTGATACTACTTCTCACGGCTGTTCTTGACACTTGAAAACACTTTGATAAACATGTATATGCTTCTCCTCCTTTGTGAGCATTAACAATTATTTTTCTCAAGTCTAAACAAATTTTTTTTGTCTTTGCCATGATGACAGTACATATTATTTTACTAGTTGTTTGGAAAGATACTAATCCTCAGTTTACAGTGTAATTTAAAGGCTTAGGGGATTAATTAGGTTAATTAGGCAAGTTATGTTAGTTAGGCAAGTCATTGCATAAGAGTTTGTTCCGTAGCCAATCAAACAGATAATTTCTTAAGAGGGGTAATAATATTGACCGTAGACATTTAAAAAAAATTTTTATAATTATTTTATTCCAGGCAAATTTAAATAAGGCTTTCTCCAGATGAAAAATATAATAAGAAATACTGTGTTAAAATTCCCTTGCTCTGTTAAACATCACTTGGGAAATATCTGAAAAAGAATATCTGAATTTCATAGGGGGCTAATAATTTTGGCTTCAACTGTGTGTGTGTGTGTGTATATGTATGTATGCATGTGTATATACACACACACACACACATCCCTTTTTCAGGATGCTATATTTTAAAGATAATTTTGCTAACTTTATACAAGGTCAGTTACAATGCCTTACAAGAGCAGTAAGACTCTTGAAAAACAGCAGAAGATATATGCCCAGGGTCCCTGCTCACCTGTGTTAACATGCCATAGTCCTGCTGCAGGGAGGCATGAGGACTGCAGATGTGGCCAGAGAAATAAACTGCAATGTCTTTAATGTTTGCAAGATACCTAAGACAGTGCTACGGGGAGACAGGAAGAGCAGCTAATCGTCCTTAACTATGTGTCCCCAAAGACTTGTGCTAAAACTTGCAAGTGCATGCAGATGAGCTTCCCTGAGACGGTTTCTGACAGTTTGTGCAGAAATTCTTTGGTTATGCAAACTGATTGTTGCAGCAGCTGGCCGGGTGGCTGGTCTCAGACGATCTTGGAGGTGAAGATGCTGGATGTGGAGGTCCTGGGCTGGTGTGGTTACACGTGGTCTGTGGTTGTCAGTAGGATGTACTGCCCAATTCTCTGAAACGCCTTTGGAGACGGCTTATGGTAGAGAAATTAACATTCAATTCACGGGCAACAGCTCTGGTGGACATTCCTGCAGTCAGCATGCCAATTGCACGCTCCCTCAAAACTTGCGACATCTGTGGCATTGTGCTGTGTGATAAAACTGCACATTTTAGAGTGGCCTTTTATTGTGGCCAGCCTAAGGCACACCTGTGCAATAATCATGCTGTCTAATCAGCATCTTGATATGCCACACCTGTGAGGTGGATGGATTATCTCGGCAAAGGAGAAGTGCTCACTAACACAGATTTAGACAGATTTGTGAACAATATTTGAGAGAAATAGGCCTTTTGTGTACATAGAAAAAGTCTTAGATCTTTGAGTTCAGCTCATGAAAAATGGGGGCAAAAACAAAAGTGTTGCGTTTATAATTTTGTTCAGTGTATATGACCCTGGACCACACAACCAGTCATAAGGGCCAATTACATTTTTCAAAACTGAGATTTATATATTATGAGCCGAATAAATAAGCTTTCCATTGATGTATGGTTTGTTAGGATAGGACAATATTTGGCAGAGATACAACTATTTGAAAATCTGGAATCTGAGGGTGCAAAAAATCCAAATATTGAAACAATTGCCTTTTAAAGCTGTCCAAATGAAGTTCTTAGCAATGCATATTACTAATCAAAAATTGTTTTAATATATTTATGGTAGGAAAATTTACAAAATATCTTCATGGAACATGATCTTTACTTAATATCCTACTGATTTTTGGCATAAAAGAAAAATCTATAACTTTGACCCATACAATGTATATTTGGCTATTGTTACAAATATACCCGTGCTACTTGAGACTGGTTTTGTGGTCCAGGGTCACATAAGTAAATCTGAATATATAAATGTAAATCCAAATATAGATACAAATTGTAATATAAAAATGTAAATCTAAATATATAGTTTTAAGCCTGAATATATAAATGTAAATTGTGAATATTTGCTTATAATTCCGAAAATATGCATGAAAGTTGCAATATATAGCACATTGAGTGCAAGAAAGGCGCACTACAAATAAAATTTATGATTATATATGGATAAGTCTAAATATACAAATAATATAATGCATCTATATTATCAGATTTATAGATTATATTAATATATAGATTCTGTTTTGGAATATGTAAATGAAAATTAAATATGTGTATAGTAGTTAATCTGAATATATAATTAAACATCTGAATAAATACAATTTAATCCAAAAATATAGTTGTAAGTTTGAATATATAACCGTAAATCAGACTGTATATACACTCAAGACTGTATAAGTCTTGAGTATATATATATTTTTTAGCAATACAGTACGTTTTAATTTGACATTCCATAAACAGTGTGTCCTGTCCATACTGCAGGCTTATTCCTGGAGAACCATCTGTTCATTTAGACAACGGAACATTCTGGACTAACAGAGCGGGTGCATACACAGGAAAGCCCCACAGAGCTGTGTTTGAGGACAGTTTGAGCAAAATCTACAAGAACCTTTACAGCAACGCATCACAGACAGGACACAGTGGACAAAGCACCTGGACACAGTGATCATAGATACATTCAATCAGTCATTTAATGTATTTGCATATGTCTGCTAAATCAAATCAGGAACACAGTATGGGGTAGTGGGAGTTTGACAAGATGTTATTTACTTTTTTTTTAACTTCCATGATAACGGCAGTAGTAATAAAATAAAAAAAACAACAGTACACTTTCTTCGGACTTGATTTATTGTGAATTCACAGAGGTGTAATCAGTCAGCCAATCTCTATAGAAAAAAGTCTAAAATCTATAAAAAAAATCATCATCTCTGTACAAGTTGCATGGTTTTTTTTTTTTTTTTACTTATGATTATAACACTAAAAATGCCTTTTCGATAATCCCGATAATAAAAATATATAGTTGCCAAAAATAAAATAAAAAAAACAACAGTACACTTTCTTCGGACTTGATTTATTGTGAATTCACAGAGGTGTAATCAGTCAGCCAATCTCTATAGAAAAAAGTCTAAAATCTATAAAAAAAATCATCTCTGTACAAGTTGCATGGTTTTTTTTTTTTTTTTACTTATGATTATAACACTAAAAATGCCTTTTCGATAATCCCGATAATAAAAATATATAGTTGCCTTGTAAATATAAAGGCTAAACAATTCCTGTTCAGGAACGAGGAAAAAAACTGATTTGCCTTATGAAATTATTTATTCATTTTCTTTTTATGGAACTTGTGCTTCTTTTTGTTCATCTTGCCAGCAGCCTGTGCTGCTTTTTCTGTCATGATCTCTTGATATTTCTTTTTGTTATAGCTGAAAAGAGAAGAAAAGAGGTATTTTAATACATGACAATTAATTTAAAACAATAGTGAGAACAATCTATAATAAAAGCCCATGGTCATGAATATGAATCATTCATCATAATTTACTCCATATAAATCTAATCAGCCACAGCTTTCTTACCTTCTAAACTCTGCATCTGCAAGCAGCTCCTCCACCATGGTCCTTTTCCTTTGTTTCTTAGGGATTCTTGAACTATAAAAGTCTATTGGGTTGTCAACCACTGTACCAACCTGAAACAAAAAGAGCAAAACTTTACTAAAGAACAGAACAATATGCCATTGTTTGCTTTTCTTTAAACATGTACACCTATGGTTGATTGCAACGTCAGTATTTTGATAACCATTCCCATTTTTTTTTGTCTAAGGAACAATGGCTTTTTGAAAAGTTGTTTGAGGGGAAAGTCTGTTGCTGATAAAGACTTCCCAACCAACCTGAAAGTACTTGGGAGGTCCTTCTCTGTCATTCTTCTTGTAGAAGCGCTTTGGGTCCATAGCTGAGCGCATCTTAAGTGCCTTCAGGTCATTTTTTAGCTCTTCTGTTAATTCAGGAGCCCTCATGTTGAACCAGCCATCACCAGTTGTCTTTTCTCTTTCCGCCTGTATGACAAATATCGCACAAATAAGATTAGTACATTGCTCAGAAAACCCTGATGTAATCAAAAGCATGAGAACTACAAACTTTACTTGTTAACACTATCGCTATAATGACTTGAGTTTTCGCCAGATATTAAACTCATTCATGCTTCATACCACAATCATACTGACCCCAAACTTTTGAACGTCAGTTTTAAGTTTTCAAGATGAATTAATAAAAGTTAAAAACAGCTTTCCCTTCAAGGAGACACAAAATGTAAGACCATCCATTCGTTCATGAACTGGCGTACCCACCTTGCGCTTGAGTTTAGCAGCATGCTTTGATTCACTGTATGGTGGCACAGCATCTTTTTTCTCAAAATCCGGAACGATAACACTCTTCTTCAGCAACTACAAAATTAATACATTTTTCATGCGCGTTAGCTTCAATAAGCATCTCCACAAACTGCTTTGAAATGCTTATGATATTAAAAAAAAAGAATATTGAGAAATATTACAATTTAAAATGACAAATAAAGTCAATGCTTCATCTAATAAATGATTATTTACCTCATCTGGATTGTTCAGGTCCTTCTGGGTTTTCGAACTGTTGGAAAGACTCTTTGGCTTGTTGCCATCAAAACTGATGTACAAACCACCAAGTTCCTTCATTTTCAGACCTGTGTCAATAGCACTAGATAGCTGTATCCTGAGCGAGAAAAAAACCAGTTTGACATTTTCAGACTAAATATAAATTTAAACGTCACATGTAAATATTTACTGAAGAGCTACAAATATTTAAAAATCAATACAATAGGAGAAAAAAAAAAAACTTACATAGGCTTTTTGGAAGTGAACAGCACTTTTGAATCTTCATCATTGTCATCTTCTTCCTCATCAACAAAATCCTCCTCATCCTGTTCCTCGGTTTGCTTGGCATCAACATAATACTGTTTCTTAGACCGTAATCCAGGTTTAGCGTCTATGACAAACAGTCCATGACAGTGTGCCTCTGGTTTTTCTGACGCCTGATTTCCATCTGGGCACATCACATCGTCTTCACTCCGCACATCTTCAGCTTTCTGTGAACAACCTTCCTCCTCTGAAGACAGACCTTCATCAGCACTGTCTTCATCCTCACTGCTGTCGAGTAAACTGATCATTTTTTTCTGGGGAGGAGGTTTCTTAGATATTTCCTCTGTGGTGATCAAATTTGGTTCAGTGTGTGAGCTTGTAGAAGGGCCTTCAAGGTCATTCAATGTTACAGAATCGTTCCCAGTTGTCTTAATGGTGTCATTAGCTTCCTCATAAACGATTACACCTTTCTTTTCACACTCAACCTTGTTCTCATGCTCCTCAACCACAGCTGACACAGGATCTTCTAGGGTGGTTTCTACCACATCCTCCTTAACAGGCTCAGTACAAGTTTGATCCTCAAAAGCCTCCTCAACCACAGCTGGTTCAGGATCTTCTGCCACAGCTTCAACCGTATCCTCCTTCACAGGCTCAGAACATGTTTGATTTTCAACAACATGGCTTGTCTCCACAAACTCTGGCTCATCATTTTCCATGGCAACATCTCCAGGCTCTTCAGTTAGTGTAGCAGAAGTTTCACCCACAGGTTTTTCTTGAAGTGTCAGCGTTTCAGTTCCACTGTCCTCCACCACCTCAACATCTTGCAAGATGCTCTGGGTTTCCTGCATCTCGATGGGCTCATCCTCATCAAGAACTACAGTGGTATCTTCAGCTCTCTCCTCAATCATGGTGTACTCTTGAGCTTTACTGGTGCCCATGGTCACAGTGCTATCCAGTTGTTCTACTGTGTCTTCAGCTTTATTTCCATCAGGTACTGGAATACTTTCAGGATGAGGTTCAAGCTCCTCACCCTGTTCCTCAGGCATGGCAGCAACAGTTGTAACGGTGTCACCTACATCAGAATTCACTTTTGCTTTACTTCTTGCCCTGGTTACAGGAACCGCACGGGTACTACTAGCAGACCCAGTTCGGCTACTACAAGGAGTCCCCCTTCCTCTTTGAGGGCTTGGGCTCCCCTGAGAATTGCAGACATCAGTAGCTACCGATTCTGAATCTGATTCACCAAGTTTGGGTTGACGCCTGGTGGATCTCCACGGACTCATGCTGGGACATGACTTGCATCCGTCTGACTCATTTTCCTCGTCAACTCCTGTTTTGCGCCTACTGCCTCTCTTCTTGGACACTGGAGAAGAAGGGGTGTCTGTGGTTTCCTCAAAGCTCAAAGGGATCGGCTGGGTCAGTTTGACCTTCTGGTTTCGAGCAGATCTGCGGACCACAGAGCCAAGAAGGCCAGAAACGCTGGAGGAGCATGACTCTGGTTCAGATGAATCTGCTTCTGCGGAAGGAACAGCAGTCTTCCGATGGCTCCTTGTTATCCGACGAGTGTCCATAGCTGTAGTGACGGACACAGCAGAACTGCAGGACTCGGTCCCTGTGGGATCATCATCATCATCGTTCTTTGCGGCATTTTTTGTAGCAGCTGAAGTCAGAACACGCTTCCTCAGGCTGCGCGGAGCACTGCGAGAACGGGCCGCGGACACCTCAGATGAGCAGGATTCAACTTCGGATGCCTCGTCCTGCACAGTGGGCTTCTCCCTGACTGCAGTCCTCCGTCGGGTTCTGGGTGTCGCCTGCACATCAGAAACTACAGAGCAGCAGGACTCTGACTCAGACACATCAGCTTCATTGGTAGAGTTTGGTTCCTTTTTGTCAGCAAGGAGACGTGTGGATCTTCTAGTTTCTCGCTTGAGCGGACTAGCTACTGAGGAAGAGGCAGTACTGTCATCCTTCGGCTCATCTGGCTGGGAGTCGCCTGCAAGTTCGGAGTGGGACTGGTTTTCCTCCATTAGCGTTCTGCGCCGTGTTCTTCTGGTCGAAGGAGTAGGCTGCTGTGAGAACAACGATATTCAGATTATTTGAGGATTCCTTATCAGAATAATGTTAGACATTTGAGTTGACATTAGAGTTGCACGATTCATCGTTAAAAGATCACAAGCTTCACAAACAGTCTTTTCAACTACACAGTATTATTTCGGTCTTATGGTCATTCATATTAACACAGAAATTCTGGGATGAAAGTTTATAGTTCAGATATAAACATTGATGTCTATAGCAGCGATCAAAATAGAGCAAATCCCCTTTTGAAAGTAATTGGTGCTTCAAATAACGTTTGTGTAGATTGTTTCGCCACTAGGTGGCGACAAGTGACTGTTAAAAAATGTGTCATTGAATTATTCTTTCAAGAGATTTGCTCAAAAACACTGACTTACTGAATTCATCCAGTAGTGAAACAAGTGAAGTATTCTTGAAGTGAAGTAAAAAAAAAAAAAACACTTTTTCATAATTTTAATATAAAAAATTTGTGTATTCAATTTATTATATTTTAAATACATATTAAAATTGTTTAATAGTTCATTCAAATTAATAAAACACTTTTAAATAGACTGCAGCAATAATATTTTGTCACATTGTTTTGTTTAGTTCAGAATCATGATCTCTATTTGAGACAAAAAAAATTGTGATTCTTAAAGGGGTCATATGATGCTTTTTTAAAGATCATTATTTGGTGTATTTGGTGTAACAGAATATGTTGACATGCTTTAATGTTCAAAAAACACATTATTTTTCAAATACTGTACATTATTGTAGGTCCTCTATGCCCCGCCTCTCTCAAACGCTTCGTTTTCTACAAAGTCCCTCCTTCCGACAAGCGCAGTCTGCTCTGATTGGCCAGCTGACCCAGTG